GATGTTTTTAACCTCGGTTAGTTCCCTAATCCAATGCGCTCTCTTCTTGTCTTTTAAGGTTACACATACCATTTTCCTTTCCATTGCTCGCTGCGTCATCCTCAATTTAAGCTGAACCCGCTTTGTAAGTCTCCAGGTTTCTGCTCCATAGCTAAGTACTGGCAAGATGCAGCTGTTGTATACCTTCCTCTTGAGTGATAGTGGCAATCTACTTGTCATGAATTGAGAGTGCTTGCCAAACGTGCTCCAACCCATTCTTATTCTTCTAGTTACTTCAGTCCCGTGGTTCGGCTGCGCAGTTATTACCTGTCCTAATAGACATGGTCTTTTACAACTCGAAGTGCACTATTACCGATCTCGAAGCGCTGTTCTTTTCTGACGTTATTGTACATTACTTTCGTTTTCTGCAGATTAACTTTCATGAGTTGAAATTAGTTCCTTGAGTTACTCAGCAATGCAATGTCATTGGCGAAGCGCAGGTTACTAAGGTACTACCCACTAACTCTTATCCCTAACTGTTCTTATTCTAGGCCTCTGAAAACCTCCTGTAAGCAAGCAGTAAATAGCATTGGGGAGATTGTATCCCCCTGCCTTACACCCTTCTTGATTAATATTCTGTTGCTTTCTTTATGAAGCACTATGGTAGCAGTTTCTATTCTATTTTGATACTAAAGTCAATTTTCTCACGGCGCACCTAACGACATCGACACTAACTTAATGTCAGGCTACAGTACCAATCCTGGTGACTTCATGCCACAGTCTGGCTAGTTGTGATGCTGTCAAGCACCAAAACATAACAAATTGCAGCTTCCTCATCGCCTTCTCAATCGTCTTGCTCCCGTTGTGCGGTCACTGCCATCCACCGTACCTGTGAAGCGAGCTAGCGTAACCTAGAATGGTATACGTGCACATGCTACGTGCACGTGAGGTTAGGGTACAATAGGAACTGAAACTAGCTTTAAAAGCATGCTGTAATCAATTCAAGGATGCACTCATGCTTGCTGATACATTTCCTACGCTCTCGGGGCCTTGCCTATCATTTGACGCAAAACAATAAAAGTAAAAAATTTTATGTCAGTAACCCTTTAACATGTAGACCTCCATGCATGCGGGATCGATAGAATCGCCAATTGCATGGGCATGATCAGTTAAGTTTTTAGGCCTTCTTTCTTATCCGCCGTTATGGGCATCTGGAGTTTGTGGTGGCTTTACTTTGTTCTTTCATTTGCATTTACATGCCCCATTTTGGAATACTTTTAAATAAATATTTACTAACTGGCTCCCCACATGAAAATGGATTGTGAATTCCCAGCCGGAAATGACTCGTGAGGCTAGGAATTCCCTATTTCCTGCTGGAAATAGCATTTCCATCCAGGAATGTACTCCATTCCCGGCTGGGAATGGCATTTCCAGGCTGGAAATACAAATGATTCCCGGCTGGAAAGCCATTTCCAGCTAGAAGTTTTCCACTCCCTGTGAGAAGCTATATTTCCAGTGGATAATTTTTCAAGCTCCAGTAGGGAAATAACTTTCACAACATAAAATTATACTGTTTGCGTGGAGGAAGTGGTATAGTTGACAAAAAAAGTCTGGCTACACAAAAATTTCTCTGAAATTGATAGCAGATTAATTTAAAGATGACTTGGAATATTCATCACACAGCTGATAATCATATTCCACAATTATGATCTTGAGCGCCCCATGCTGCTGGGTTGGCGAAAAATGTAATCCTAGGGGCAAAATGCACTTTTATTCTATTTTTGCAAATGTACATAGACGTGTGCCCAGTCGACATGGTTTTACAAATGTTACAACTACATACGTCCAACTAATTGCTTGCTCAGTTGCTCATTGAGCCGTTGCACCAATAGTTAATGTTTTGAGCAATAGCAGTTAATTCCTGGTCAAAAAGAGCTTTACTGTCAACAATCACCATTGACTGCCTTGACTGAACAGCACTGTACATGCTAGTTTGCTCTTGCGATGCAGCAACCATAAAAGACGCCACACTGCCTATTTTTGTTGACATCTCACTAGCACTATTTTTGTATTGTTTCTCGGTGCTTTCTGACATTAATGCAAAACAATAACCTACTCTGTATTATGAACATTGCATGAAACAATTTGATTTTTTTTTTTCAATGGTAAATTCCTCATACATAGTGGTTCAATATTCCGTATATGATTACACCTCGGCGTTTTCCTACAGCACATGGCGGCTAGTCGTAACTGTGCGTGTGCACTCAGGATTCGCTATTCTAGCAAGTTTCTTTGAAAAATACATGAGTGAATGTTACATGAAATAATTATCTTTGACCAGCTTTGGAAAATGCAGCGAGTGATGCCCAGCATATTCGAGCGGTATTTACTGTACTCAGTGCGATGCCTTGGAGACATGAGCACAGACCAAGGGACAGTGATTATCTCTGCTCAGATTTTGCCATTTGGAAATAAGTGTTGCACTTGTATATTTCAAGAATTGATTGATTGATATTTAATGTCCCAAAACCACGATACCATTATGACAGACACAGTACTAGAGGGCTCTGGAAATTTAAACTACCTGGGGTTCTTTAGTGTGCACCTAAATCTGAGCGCACGGGCCTACAGCAATCCTGCCTCCATCGAAAATGCAGCCACCGCAGCTGGGATTCAATCCGGCGACCTGCGGGTCAGCAGCAGAGTACCTTAGCCACTATACCACCATGGCGAGGCTATAATTCAAGAATAAGTGAAAGTTTGTCCCAAATGTTCATGGGCTTCATTATTCACGCTGTGCATACCTTGTTTATATATGCGACCGGTCCGTGCAAGCAGCCTTTGTCTCCAATAATCCTCAGCCGTGCAAGGCTTGTGCTTGATGGAGCACATGAGTACGCAACAAATGCTAGTAATTACAGACGTGCTATTGAATTCATTTGACGTCTATGCAGAGTACTTTAAAATCAATGTAAATAATCTATACATACCCACAAAAATTTCAAGTTAGAAATGGTGAGCATGTTGAGCTCAAAGCGTAGCATGCAGTGAGCGACACTACACACCCCTGCCCCCCCCCCCCTCCTATTTTTTTTGCCATGGCATACAGGGCACAAAATTACTCTACCAGATCGTCAGATTTAAGAACATGCCCCCGCCCCAAAAACAATTTCTGCCTACAACCCCTGGGTGAGTTATTTCATTTCCTGAGTGAATGTGGTGCATTTATATTTGTTTTTTCTTATTTGGCCTTCTCTGAGTGTGGTGGAGCAAAACCAAGCACCAAGATGTGACAGTAGCTGCCTAAAGACAACAAAGGATCCAATATTAAACATAGTGCAAAAAACACGAAATACATATGTAAACATAGCACTGTTTCCATCAACTAAAACTTATTAGAAGAACATACCCACATATACAGTTAAGGGACTAGTCACATGACGAGAGAATAAAGATATGAAAATAAAGTGTTTTAGTGACAAGCACTAAGGTAATCAACTGTGATACGGAGCAACACTATCGACGGCCTTGCAACATACGCCTCACCGCCTCTATACATTTAAAACCCTTCTTCAATTTCTCACTGCATTTTTTTCCTTGATTTTATCTTGCTAGCACACTTGCTTTCTTCAACCTAGGCCTAGCCGCAGTCCCTGCAATACAGCGAAACGTTACGTGGTGTTCCATTCAAAGAGGCTCAGTGGTAGAATAACCTATTATTTAAGCAGAGCTCTATCTGCCTGACGTAGCTTTTCTATCATGACAGAGGTACGTTGTAGACCACTCGCCTACCACAGTCAAATAACTTTTCCCGATGCTTGATGTCGCCCCTGTGGTCCTCCCGACCTAGCTTCCGCAACCTCTTGTCCACTGCCAGACAGAGCTGGCCAAGCTTTATTCCACTTGAAAAAGCCCCTAGACAAGTTTGTCAATAGAGGCGGTGATGCGTGTGTCGCCAAGATGTTGATAGTGTTGCACCCTATCAAAGTTGATTACCTTAATGCTTGTCACTAGAACACTTCTTTTATTTTCATATTTTTATTCTCCTGTCAAATGTCTAGCTCCTTTTGCTTATAAGTACATATGTGTGTATATTCTTCTAATAAATTTCAGTGGATGAAAACAATGCACTGTGTTTCCGTTCTTGTCTTTGTTCTTTTTACAACATTTAATAATAGAATATTACCAACCCACCCAGCCAAACACCCTCCTGACTTAACAGAGGAACCTTAAGAAAGAATATACAAAATGTAATGAAGAGTATGAGGCAATCCAAAGGCTAATATCAAAGAAAACACGTCCTCCTCATTGCAGCAGGAAAGGCACCTTTTCCTTGGAACATCATGCTTCCCGATTTAGAGTGCTCTAAATTTCTTGCCAGAACAACTGCTATATCCTCCTGGAAACGTCTCGCGTTTACGGCGGGAATGACTTTTATTTCCAGCGAGAACGACTTACTCTTCTGGCTAGAATGGCTTCAATTTCCGGCTAGAATGATCTCCATTGCCGGCCAGAACGGCTTCCAATTCCAGCTAGAATGACCTCCATTCCTTGGCAGATTGGCTTGCTTATTCCAGCCAGACTATTTCCTGTCTCATAACCTGGCCGGGGCAGAAGATGTTTTCCAACTGGCTCAGCTCTTCGCTATTTCATTACTGCTTGATTCATGTTCACATACCGGCTTTCGGTTAGGCACGAGACATGCTATCAGTATTGTGCTCCCTGGACGACTCGATTATTCCACAATGACACGTAGCATATATCACAACACACTGCCACTGGGCGATTGCAATGCGCATAATATAAAACGGACACAACAAGAGCACGCACGTCACCCGCAAACGTAGCGCAAGAACCCGACTCTCATCGAATCGGTCTGCGATCAGAAAAGCACGCGTTTACTGTAACGCTTCCTTGGCACTTTTTCCTCATGCTGCTCGGCCAACGAACCCGAGCACGGGCCATTGTGCAGACGATCACGCTCGCTTTCCTCAAAAGCGCTTGATGAGACAGCAGCTCACCTGACAGGATGGTGAGAAGAAGCCGGAACGCTGCTTCAGAGGACCCCAAGTAAGTGGCCACTTGGCCCAATATACCCGGCGCAGTCATGATGCAGCAGCACGAGGTCGAGCACTCACCGCTCGCGTCACACGGGGAGCTCCTCAAGAAAGAACACCGCCACCGGCACTCACCGACGGACGTCGTCTACATGCGAAAGCACGTAGTACATACAAAACCTTTGGCGGTGGAAAAGAAAAGTCGGACGGTGAATGCTGTACGGATCGCTCGTAGTAGTAGCACAGAACAGTAGTAGCAGTGGTAGTTCTCTCATACCACTAATTTCGCCGTAAGTAAATATAATGCTTGAGTGGTAATGATGATATTCATGAAACTAGTGATAACAAGCATATTTGTAACCTGCATTAGAAAAATAACAAAAATAAAAAGTTAAGGAAAAAGTTATTGCGGTTGCATTTTTTGTGGAAGTTCTCTGTGTGGTTTTGGGCTAGCAGACGCCGAAAAAAATTATATGCGCCGACCGCCATCTTTGTGAGGGCTCGACTGTTTGTAATGCAGGCGAAGCTGAAGACCTTCGGTTGTTACTATAGTGAACTAGAATAGTTGTTACTTGGCGTTATCTTCAAACACCCGTTCCGCCATGCGAGACGTTGCGATTACGAGTGGCGGCGAGTATTTGAAGCTAATAGTTCCGGCTGTCTTTTTGTGTGTGTGTGTGTCCTGTGAAGCTTCGAATTCCTCCCGCGAACACCGGCGAGCCGCATCTAGTACGCTGGCTGCACTGTTTTTTATGAGTTGCGGCGCCTATCGAGTTTTAAATGCGCAGTATTTGTTGTACTTGGCGACAACTTTTCTTGGCTACGGAGGGAAGGCTACGGAGGCAGAGCTTCTGCACATGTAGCACTATGCGAAGTAGTCTGTTTTGGGGCGCGTCTCGTAACGCTGTGAAAAGTGACGGCGGCGACCCATCAGCGTTTTTAGATGGTGATATGACTCCATTTTCACAACGAGAGTGAGAAAGGGCTGAGAAGAGGGTTCCTAGTAGTACATCAACAGGCCCAGATGACATTCCAATTATGCAGATAAAGACATAGGGTCCGAAGTCTAAGCAGACTTTGAAAGAGGCAGTGAGCAAAATAATAATCGATGGTGAAGTCCCCGATGAATGGAAACTAAATTAGCAAGATGAGCATGTTTTATAAAGGAAAGGGGGACAAAGCTGACATAAACAACTACCTTCCTATAACAGTGACATCTCGTGCTCTAGAGGCTGGCAACGCAGATGATAAAGGAAAGACGGCAAGCATGGATAAAGGATGAGGGGGTGCTGAGGGAACTGAAGAATGGGTTTCGGAAACACAGGAGGTTGGAAGACAATCTGTTCTCACTGACGCAGTGCATCGAAATAGCAGAAAAGGAACACACGCCCCTGTGGCTAGCATATTTGCATATCAAGGGAGCGTACGATAGCGTGGTTCAAGAGGACTTGTGGGGAAAACTGGACACACTAGGTGTGCAAGATGCAGTCACTAATCTTTTAAAGGATATCTATAAAGGTAATAAGGCAGCAATAAAGTGGGAAAAACAGATATCCAAGCCCGCAGAGGTAAAACAGGGACTTAGGCAGGGGTGTCCTCTGTCACCCTTGTTATTCATGATGTACCTACAAGGAATAGAAGCCAAATTAGAGGGAAGTGGACTGGACTTCAACCTCTGTTTCGCTAAACAAGGAAACCTCATTGAACAAACACTACCAGCATTGATGTACGTAGATGATATTGTGCTAATGGCCGACAACAAGGAAGATTTGCAGAGGTTGATGGACATCTGCGGTAATGAGGGAGACAGGTTAGATTTCAGATTCAGTAAGGAAAAATCAGCAGTCATGATTTTTAATGATACTGAAGGTAGTGAGCTTAGAATACAGGAGGTCACGCTAGAGATAACAGATAAATGCAAATATCTGGGCGTATGGATAAGCAAAATGGGACCGAGTACATAAAGGAACACGAAATATACGTGACGACTAAAGGTAACAGGAGTGCAACAGTGATGAAAAACAGGGCACTGTAGAATTACAATACGTATCATGTTGTGAGAGGATTATGGAAAGGGGTCATGGTTCCTGGTCTGACGTTCGGCAATGCGGTCTTGTGCATGATATCAGAAGTTCAAGCAAGATTAGAAATCAAGCAACGTGGAATAGGTAGGCTCAGTGGCGTAACTAGATAGGACGGCGCCCAGGGCAAATATATTTCCGCGCCCCTCATTATGCCCGTGATAATGTTTGTTATTATTATTATTTTTATTAATAATAATAATAATAATATTATTATTATTATTAATAATAATAATAATATTATTATTAATAATAATTATTACTACAGCTCCTATTAATAATAATATTATTATTATTAATAATAATAATATTATTATTAATAATAATTATTACTACAGCCCCCCCCCCCATTAAAAGCGCTAATGTAGGCTTCCGCGATTGCCTACTGGCGCGCGGCGGGCCATTTCGGAGGCCAAGGGCCACCAGTTCTGATTTCGATGAGCTACGCCCGCGTTTTTGTATAGTATTTTCTTTTTTTATTCAAACTTCCGGAAGTCCCTTACCCGTCATTGTTCTCTTCCAGTCCACACTGCAAAAATCTTGACGGCACGGGCGCTTCCCAGGCCCAAGTTTCTCGTACCTAAGCTTTCGCGCTATTTGTGCATCCCAAGGAATGCAGGGTGAGTACAAAACAAAGCAACCAGCTAGACACCGCGCCCTCGGGTCTGGTATGGGGGTTAAACTGGTCGGAGTGTTCTGCCGTTTCGCTCCGTTCGCTGTTCCATTGATGGAGGTCATCCTTGTGCGGCCGCATTCTTTCAGGGAAGTTCTTGGTTTCTCCAACGTACGAAGCGGGGCAGTCGGCACATGCTGTCGGGTACACTACGCTCTGCGCTTTTTTCGCAGGTGCGTGTTCTTTGGGCCAAAGGATGAACCTGCCCATGGCGGTGGATGGCATGTGGGAAACGTTGACCCCCGCCCTTCTATTGCTTTGCTGGCGCCCGCGATGCAGGGAATCAACAAACGTCGCCGTCGTGTCACGCTTTCTCCGTCTTTCCTCCAGAGAACTCTGCGAATAAACGCCTTTGTTTAGCCTTTGGTGCCGAGGTCACGGATTATATTCGCCCTTCCTTCCGCCGCTGCGTGGACGATTAGTCGTTGGACGATCGGCTATTTCGTTGGAGTTTTCTGTTCTTACTCAAAAAAGGTGCATTCGAACTTTTTTATTTTATTTTGTTTACGTACGTGGTTGGTTTCAGGGAAGCTTTCAGTAAGTGGTTTGGGAGGCTGGTGGGGTTCGCTGAAACTCATCTAACCCAGTGCTGCGGAGCACAAAACAAAGCTTAGCCGAGGGTCATGGGAAGGCACGGAGGTAGCGCAGCAAAATGAAAATAGAGGATCCTTTTCCCGATGCAAAAGCCATTGCGGCAACCCTTTCCTTCACCACCATCCCCACTTCCAGTCGTACATTACAACCTCGCCCCTCCCCCCTTCCAGGCGGTTTTACGGAAAAAAACATTGACAACCTTTCCAGGGGGCGCCAACCCGAGGACTCGGCTTGGCGCCCCCTCCCTAGTGGCGCCCGGGGCACTTGTACCCCCTTGCCCCCCCCTAGTTACGCCACTGGGTAGGCTTGCCTTAGGAGCTCACGAGAATTCCCCAAATCAGGGAGTACAATGTGATATGGGATGGACATCATTTGAGGGCAGGGAAGCTAGCAGCTAGATAAAATTTGAGATGCCATTGAGAGAAATAGGGGAGGAGCGTTGGGCTAGGAAGGTATTCAGCTCCATCCATAGTGGGCAGCGCACAAAAGGAAACACACAAGAGAAGGAATCAGGACAAGCGCTGGTCTAACAACTGAAAGTTTTATTTGAAAGAAAGCATATATATACATGTGTACACAGAAAATCAAGTGCTACGCAAGATTACTTCCGATCAATGAAACCAATCTCCTGTTCAGATAAAGAAACAGATGGCTGGCTAACGCAAATGCCAACACTCTTCGCCATGTGGTAAGCCTCAGCAATCTCACGTGTCCTTTGATTATGATGGCGGTCGATGATTGCGGTTTGCTCAAAAGAAGGAATACAACCGCAATCGCGGCAATGGCTGGCGAGGTGAGACAGAACCCCACCCTTTAAAGAATTTTCATGCTCCCGTAGCCTAATATTAATACATCTACCGGTCTGTCCTATGCAGACACTCCCGCACGAGCAAGGAATTTTATAGACTACCCCGGTCGAACATGCGGTATACTTCTTAACGTGCTTGATTGAACAAGTGTTATCAACCGCCCTCGTAATTCCCTTAACGCGTCTATGAATCTTGCCACATAAGCTACCCAATTTTTTCCCACTTGAAAAAACAACGTCAACCCCATACTGCCCCCCAACTTTCTTTAATCTATGTGAAATGGAATGTACATAGGGAATCACTGCAAAACGCTTTTGCTCGCGTTGAGAGGTTGCTGGTTGGTTGGTGGACTGCGCGTTACTATTTACTTTCTTTAGCAAACGCTCGGAAGCAGAAACGAGAAAGGCGGTGGGAAAACCCGCTGTCTTAAGCCGATCACACTGATTACGAAAGCTTTCCTCTGTGGCATGGAAACAAGATTTTGCGACAGCTGCGTGAAGGCATGAAGTGACTATACCATTTTTTACCAGTTTAGAATGAGCAGATTTAAAGTTTAGGAGGGGTTTAGCCGACCTGGGAGCGTATAACCAACAGACATGCGCATCCTGGAATCGCAATGTTAGGTCAAGGAACTGAAGCTCATTCTTTTCATTGGGAACTTCACACGTAAACTGAAGACCCTGCCCCCTTTCCCTAAATGCCTTGAGAATGTTCACCTTATCATGTAAGCTACTAACACTATCCAAAAAAACCAAGTAATCATCCACATACCTAAATATACGAGTCCCCCAACCCTCAAAATCTCTTTCTAGATCGCGATCAATTCTACTCAACAATATGTCACTTAGGACCGGGGCAACTCTGGAACCTATGCATACACCTGAGGCCTGAACAAACAAATCCCCTTGCCAAGAAACAAAAGTAGAATCAAGATAAAAACGAAGAAGTTCAACACGTTGTCTCGGGCTACTTGCAAACCCACCTCAGCTCGTTGAATTTAGTGGATCCATTCTTAATTGGTTAGGAATTCACTACAGGTTGTTGATTTCTTGGGTAATCAGAACCTTTGGGAAAAAAAGTCTGCCTTCAGTGTCGATGTTCAGGACCTGTTCTACTCACTGCCGCATAATTTTCTGTTACTATGTGTTAAGGAAACTATCACTGAACTAAA